AAGTCGGGAAAACCTGGGTTTCCCTTTGAAGAACACGAAGAACATGATCATGAGGAAAAATGAATGCAAAGATCATAACTTGTTACAAAAAAATCTGAGATTTCATGCCATGAGTTCAAAACGTGGACCTGGGTACCCATACAAGAAGGTTATGCAAGAACAAACACAAAACATGGTTCTTGTTTCAAACTTTCGGATCAAAACGAGACTTTTTTTTAAAAACACATGAATACTATCTTTCTCTTCCGAAACCAATTTCAAATCGATGCATGACATGCAGAACAAATTCGATCATGCAATGCAGCTAGATGATCAATAAGAACAACAAGAGTAGGTTGAGATTCTAACCTCAAAACTCGAACCCAACGGTTCAAACCTCGAAGATGAAGCTTGGAAGATCTAATCTCACTCAAGAACTTCTCCTCATTTCTCTAGAGCTTCTCTCTCTAAAGGCAAATATTTGAGACAAAATGATTTGTTTCTAGGTCTGCCGGCTGTCTTAACACTCAGCTCGGACACGTGGCGCTACCGGGTTGGTTCAACTCAAAAGGTGATTGATTGATAAGACAAGTCTATGACAAAGCGTATGCAGCAAGCTAAGGCAAGACACATCGGCAAGTAATGACATCGGCTAAATTCAAAGCTTCGGTAACAGGGTAACAAAGACATCGGCTAGGGAGGACGACACTTGACTAAGCTGTGCCACACCTTGGCCGGGGTGTGCCACACCTCGGTCTAGGCCATACCTGCCCGAGGACAAGGATCACTAGGTGCAAAACACCTCGGCAAACATGCCCGGGGTGAAGATGGGGGTCGACCAAGGGGTTCCAAAACCGTTCTAAGTACAAAGGTTCAGAGGTGAACTAAGCTTAAGATGACCTCGGCTATACACCAAGCAAGGAACAAAATCATGCAAGCAATACTTAAACAAAACAAGGCAAGGCAAAACTTGCAAAACTACATAACAAGACAAGATCATGCATGAATGTATGCAAGTATGACAAGAGTAAGGTGAGGGTTGCTACATTCGGGTTCTTGTTCCGACCTGCTTTTATCATCCCAAGTCACTGTGTAGACTTTCTTCCAATTCTTTTTCGGATGACATTTAAGGGCAATATGTCCAAACCGTTGACGTTCATAACACTTGACCCCTTGCCCCTTTACAATCTTCTTTCCAGTTTTTGGAGCAAGTTTTGGTGGAAAAGTTTTGGGTTTATCATTACTCTTGTCTTTTGAAATAGAGTCTCTGAAATTAGGCTTCTTTTTCTTTAATTTTTTTTTTGAATTGTTTAGTAAACATAGCCGCCATCTCAGACTCTAAATCAAACTCAGTCTCAGGAGTTTTTGCAGTCTCATGACTACTACTGAAAGCTACACTATATTTTTGTTTTTTCTTAGAAATCTGGTGGGCTTCATAAGTCTGCAAGTTTTCAACCAACTGATCAAGCTTGAGGGTATCAACATTCTGAGCCTCCTCAATGGCTGTCACTTTTGATTGGAACCTCTCGGGTAAAGACCTCAAAATTTTTCCAACAACTTTAGCTTCAGGGATTTTTTCACCGAGTATGAAACAAGAATTTATGATGTCACTAAGTTTAGCATAGAAATCATCAAACGTCTCATCATCACGCATAGAAAGGGTTTCAAAGGCAGAGGTGAGACGTTCAAGTTTTGACTTTTTGACACTATATTTTTGTTTTTTCTTAGAAATCTGGTGGGCTTCATAAGTCTGCAAGTTTTCAACCAACTGATCAAGCTTGAGGGTATCAACATTCTGAGCCTCCTCAATGGCTGTCACTTTTGATTGGAACCTCTCGGGTAAAGACCTCAAAATTTTTCCAACAACTTTAGCTTCAGGGATTTTTTCACCGAGTGTGAAACAAGAATTTACGATGTCACTAAGTTTAGCATAGAAATCATCAAACGTCTCATCATCACGCATAAAAAGGGTTTCAAAGGCAGATGTGAGACGTTCAAGTTTTGACTTTTTGACAGAAGTAGTACCCTCGTGAATCGTTTCAAGAATGTCCCAAGCTTCTTTTGCTACCTCACACGTGCAAATACGACGAAACTCTTCAGGTGTGACGGAGCAAAAAAAGGAATTGAGAGCGTTACTGTTCCAACTCGAGTTTTGATAATCGGTTGTGTCCCATTTATCAAGGGGTTTGGGAATATCAATACCATCAATGGTGACAATAGGTTCACTCCACTCATAGATCACACAGTGCCAAACTTCCTCATCGATGGATTTTAAAAACGCTGTTATACGAGCTTTCCAATAAGAATAGTTTGTACCATCAAGTAACGAAGGTTTATGGGTCGAGTTACCTTCACGAATTGAATTCATATCACTAATCACACAAAATCACACTCCTATAATTTTGATAAAAATAAAGAGTGACTTGCTCTTATACCAATTGAAAATCCTAAGTGATTTGTGATTAGATCAAGATTAAATTACTCTAATTCCCAATCATTCAAAACACTCAATTTAAATTATCAATCACTTACGAAAGTGATTTAGATTGTTATTTTCGAAAAACAATAAATCGACAACAAACGATTTTTACGTGGAAAAATCACAATTGAAACACCTTCAATTGTGATAAAAAAAACTGTAAAAATTGATGTATTATTGATTGATATGTTGATTTTTATTACAATGATTCATGATTCCTATATATAGAAGAGGGTGAGTGTGTAGTAGGTGAGGAGTAGGTGAGGAGTAGGTGGAGAGTAGGTGAAGTAGGTGAGTGTGTAGTAGGTGGTAGTGGTAGGTATGTAGTAGGTGAATTTTAACAGCCCCCCGCAAACTCAAGGGGGATAGGAACTAACCAACTTGAGTTTGGAGAGAGTTACAAAACAAGAAAATACATAAAAACAAAAGAGGATAGGTGACACTGTATGGTCGTGTCAGACCATTGGTGAAGACACTGGATGGTGGTGTCATAACGTTGTAGAGGACACTGTATGGTGGTGTCATAACGGTGTAGAGGACACTGGATGGCGGTGTCAGACCGATGTAAAAGACAGTTTATAGGGTCATGTCGGACCGTTGTAGCAGACAATGTTGTGACAGTTGTTGTGACAGTTTACAGAGTCTTGCTGGACCCTTATAGAAACTAACCGGAATCAATGTCGGGACAGTTTATAGAGTCTTGTCGGACCCATGAAGGAGCTAATTGGAATCAATGTCGGGACAGTTTACAGAGTCTTGTCGGACCCTTAAAAAGTCGCACCCTCAAAAGGTATGCCCAATTTTTCAAAAGGCGTGCCATCAAAAGGCGTGCCCAATCTATAAAAAGGCGTGCCATCAAAAGGCGAGCCCAAGTCATAAAAAGATGTGTCGGACATGATGGCGAGGCGCGTCACCACATTGGCTTGCGCGCCCGTTTTGTCGTCTGGCGTCAAGTGGCACGCGATGCGCGCGTCTGCCTTGGCTATTTAACCAAGGTTGAGGCAGAGACTGTGCAAACCAGTCTGAAACCGCCGAAAATCCTTTGAAAAAACTCTTCCGTTTCTGAGAAAGAGATTCTGGAACACTCTGTTGCCATTCTGTAACCAACCCGTCTCTGAAACACTCAGCAACCCATAACATGGCCTCGTCTTCCCGTTCAGCTACCCAGAATATGGCCTCTTCGTCCCGTGGTCTGCTCACTCTCTTTCCCGACCTCAACGAGTCAACAAGAGAGATAACTGGTGCGGTGGCACTGGAACCTCAAC